TTTTCATCATTTCTTTTTAAATTTGTTCGAAAGTTACATTTTTTCCTTGCCCTATATGCGGAACACTCTCCTCTGATTATTGCGCCATCAACAATTCGTTTTCATTGTTTGTCCGGTCGGCGAAAAACTATACGCAGTACATGTACTTCCATGGACTCTTTTTACCTCCATGGTAGGTCCTAAGGATTGACATCGTCTCATTCAAAGTGGACTGCTGAATTGCTTGATATTATGCGTGATATTGTGCTTCTGGGTGTATCAATCGACATCACAAAAATAAAAATTCCCTTCTATCGACCATCAGCAAACTGACGTGTTTGTTTTTTCAGTCATGACAAACCAGGGGTATTTTTGCTCCCAGTCTCCGGGAAAGTCGTCTATGAGTAACAACTGTTAGGGGGCGCATGATCCCTGCGCCTACAAACGCCACAGGGATCATATTGAGTGATTTCGCTGGTTCCCGGCGTCCTTTGCGAATGGCAAGAAGGCTTGGTACGCCATGACACTTGAGACGGGAACCAGCCAAATTAAGTGAACCGAACAGTAAAATGATAGAGGGCGCTATATTGGACAGCTTCCTCCACCATGTGCACGTTTTCCTCGGAAAACATTTTAAGGCAGAGGTTTAATTAAAACAGATAGAGAGGCAGTCAATGAACCAGATTAAATACTGTATATATTTGTATTGAGTTTCATATACATGGGGTATACACTCAGAACAATGTAAAAAACAGTCATACATAATACTAGTACATAAATAAAAAATTTAGGGGTAGAATAGAAACAAATTCTCCAACACCTGCAGCAATAGCGGTTACTTAGTAACTTAACTTTTTCCGAGGCATGAAAGCAATTATAATATTATTATACTATTATTTCTTTAACACTACATATACTGATCTTTGTGGCCACATTAAGTTTTAAAATACTGGTATGCATCATGAATTTCAAAAAGGAGATGACAATAGCTTCTGCAATTTTTTTTATGTGTACATTTATTAACACCCCAGTCCCCATCGTTCATAGTACTGTAAAAAATTTAATTTTTACAGTAATATTATTTCACTATTTTCAGCATATTTGTTAGGTTTTATATTTTCTAGTTATATTTAGAATTTTACATGTTCACACAAATTTAAATTAGCAGACTTTTAAAAACAGCAAAAATTAAATCGACGGAATAATTAATGCAAGAAATTGATTACTATATTTGCTCAATCAGAAGTACATCTCTAATCGAAGCACATACAAATAAAAATTACATTTATCAGATTTTAGATCGTTAAAATCTTTGATATTTTTGCATGCGCTACTAATAGAGAAAATACAGTATATTAATCTGATACAATATCACAGCAAACTTTGTTGCCGATGACATCATGATGATAAAAAGAGCCACAAATTCAGAACGCTTACTTTTTGTGATGAGTTGAGGATTGATTTTATCAAGAGAAATGGCAGTAATAGGGTCAATGCAAGTACATATATTAGTTACTCTTGTAGTGTAGAGACAATGTGATTAAAATCTGTTGATGGAGGGCGCTCTAATTACATTGATGTGTGACACTCATCAGTTAATGGTTGTGTACACCAGCAGCCATAAAGTAAATTAAAAGCAAGCAGAGATTTAACCTACATCAGAATCTTAATCACCTTTAGAGAGGGCCAAATTGTATACATGGTATGACTTTTAAAACTAAAGTAAAAAATAAAATGATTTTTGTTATAAAGAGTATGACAAGAATATGATAAAACTAAAATTCTGCATGAAAGTCTGATAGGAAATCGATCAAAGAATTTATTTCTCATTAGAGAAGCAAATAGCCTGTATAAATAAAACAAATTTTGTTCTAAATGATTTTTAAATTGACGGTAATTTTATTCCACTTCTCTCCAATATACTGAATGGCAAACTACAGGGCAATAAGTAAAATTAATTAATCTAATATTTTAAAAATATTTAACAGCAATATCAGTGGCTTTACTATAGTGTTGACCAAAAAATTTATCATTGGAAGGGGAGAAGCATATATATATGAATTAATGACATTTTGTTCTAGAAGAATATTTTAAAATTAATAGTATGTTTGAAAATGCCCCCACAACAATGAATCAAATGCCAACTACAACTGTATACCAATACAATATTTATAACATTAAGCTTACGATAGAAAATATTATAATTGTAGAAAAACAAATTTTAGTCTTGTGCAAACCCTACAAATATCAACTATAA